TTATTTAGAAATAACTTGCTTTCAAGACTAAGTTAACCTCAGAGAATTTGATTCTTTGTTCTGAGATATTCTGTCTTCTCATTTGTTCAACAAACACCGATTGAACACCCACTAAGACCTAGACAATCTTTTACATGTAAGAAGTAATGTATGGAATAAAACATAAATCTGTGACTTCATGAAATTTTTTTTCTAAAGGGAGGGAGCAAGCAGATCATAATACAAAAATATAATAAAATAAATAGCATTTAACAATGCTAAGTGGTATGAAAAGAAAGAAATTTAAAGAAGGCCATTTATAATGGGGCACTATTTTAGACCTTTATTCTGCTACTTCTAAGCCTAGAGGTTTATGAAGAAATATCAACTTTCTTTTTCAAGCATGGTAACTTAAAAGGATTCATTTGTTTTCTTTTGGTCCTTTCACCCATTTTAAAGAAAAATTTTGTTCAGGTAGCTATTTGTTAATCTCAATTTAAAATTATTCAACGTATTCCCTGGTTAGACCATATGAACACAGATTAACTAGGAAATCTTTGCAGCTTTCCATGGATTATCTGCATTGTAAAAACATAGTATGCTGTAAATGAGTGCATGTTTTTGTGCTGTAGCCCTGAAAATATCTGTCTCTTTTATTTTTTGAGGTACTGTGGTTTTCTACTCAGAAGGAAATGTCCCAGTGTGATTCTAGAAAAAATGGAAATTAAAGTAGTATATATTGTTTTCTTGAACAAATCTGGAAGAGCTTATTTAAGCATATGATGGCATAGGTTTGATTTTGAATAACAATTTTTATTGAATGCCATTTTAAGTAGATACTACACAAAGAAGTGTCATTTGATTAACCTCAGTCATGTATTTTATGTCATTCATAGAACTAAGACCACATGTAGGAGGAACTTAAAGATAGAAGAAGGTAGAATTTCCATTCTCAAATGGACTTCAGTATCCTAGGAATCAAAGATAATTCCAGAAATGACCCACTGAGTTGGGCATTATCCTACCACAATTGCACAGTAAAACAAAAATAAGTTGATATTTGATTTTAAAATATTTGAATTTCATACCATACTTTTATAAAACTTATGTTCTCAAATAAAATAAGAAATTATCACTCCTAGATTTTGTTTCCTTTGAGTAGGTCACACCAATCTGAATCTAGATATTGTTTTTCAAATATGTAGGAGTCATTAAACCAGTTAATACATTTGTAAATAACCGTGGCATAGAACTTCTTGGAGATGCAAAGCCTCTTGCTTTGGACATAGCACTCTCAGTCTCAGCTCATTTTGCTGTAGTCATCTTCTCTGTAGGACAATCATGTTTTACTGCCTGATGGAAGGCCAAATCATCTATTTCTTGAGCCATTGTATTAATTTTCCTTCTTTTCTGGAACTCTCTATAAAGTTTTAAAGTATCTATAAATCTTCTAGAATAGGTCACATAAGTTTCATCAGATTTGTAAAGAGGTATGTGATTAAAAATGATTTATAGAAAAACTTTGCTGTCTTTGAAATAAATGTCTTTCCCTAAGGTAGCAACATAAATTCTAATTCTGTATTCAGCCTTGAAGGTAGAATATCTACATAAATAAAAGTCTTCTGCTTGGGAGATTTATTTATTCTTCCCTCCCTCCCACCGCTCCTCCCTCTTTCTCCCTATTATTTCTTTATATTATGAGTACTGATTCAAGTATACTTCCTATTTTTATTAAGATGTGAGGGGCTCCTGAAAAAAAATACACAATGCAAATTGTATCCTCTTATACTTCCACATAGACATTAATTATATTCCACATTCTTAGCTTAAATCAACATGATGTTAAAACATTCAGTGTTTACAGATTTATCTTTGTCTTTTGGACTAAAAGCTGTAACATGGATTTCCTTCATCTGAATGCATTTTACTTGGTAGTTTTCTACGTCACTTGCTGTTCTTGTAGAATGACAGGTGAGGCAATCCTGGTCAAAATCATACTGTTTCCTTTACATTCTTAGGATTAATAGCTTTAAGTAATCTTGCTCCATAAAGAGCTAGTTTGATGTGATTGCAGTTATGTCCTTTCATCTTTTCAAGACTTCATGTTCAGACACTGACTCTTTTTGTTCAAGATTATATTAATTTTTCTGCTTCTCATAACACAAATTATTGGTTCTGATAATACATAATTAGCATGGGTTTCTAAGAAGTTTAATATTAAAAACATCTTTTGGACAAATTTTGATTTTCCTTATTTGAAGAGCAGTCTAAAAATGGTGCAGAGAATTTAGGATTTCCACTATTTAGAATTAATATTGTTGCCAAATGCCAACAATTTTTAAAACTTTGCTCTATGAATGCATTTAAGAATATATTATTTACAGTTTGGTATTTTATTACATTTAATAAATTAAACATTATTTCAACCATATAACATTCAGCTTTATTTTTAAAAATAAATTTAAATTGTCATGAATGTTTCCAATATTTTTATCTTATCAAGCTATTTTATTGATATGATTTCTTATGACTACTAAATGAGTAATTTAAAACAATATACTTCTAGCATTTAGCATTTTCTACATTGAGTATTTATAATCGAGGTTTCCTAGAATATGCTTGTAAATGTAAAAGTAGGCATACTGTTTCCAACTGATAAACACTTTCACATCTGAAGAAACTTCAACTGATTCCTTATCCCTCTAACTGTGGCATGCCTGCAAGTGATTGAGGCTCTGTAGGTGAACAGTGGGCAACCTCTACTCTGGAACCCAGCCTGGTTCACACATGGTTGTCACTCACTTGGTCCTTGAGTATATAAACCCTAACTTAGAGTGCCCCAGAAAACAGAAAGGTATTTGCAAAGGATAGTAGAAAAAAGACATCTTTGTTTAACTTCTTTAAAACATTCTTATTGTTGGGGCACCTGGGTGGCTCAGTTGGTTAAGCATCTGCCTGAACCTCAGGTCATGATCTCAAGGTCCTGGGATCGAGCCCCTGCTCAGCAGGGAGCCTTCTCTCTCCCTCTGCCTGCTGCTCTCCCTGCCTGTGCTCTCTCTCTCTCTCTATCTCAAATAAATAAAAATAAATAAATAAACAAACAAACAAACAAATAAATAAAAACATTCTCATTGTCTTCAAAAGAAATCTAAACTTCTTTTATATTAATTTTATATATTATTATTTATTATATTAATGATAATCATCACTTATTGAGCTCTAACTTCAGGACATTTGTTTTTTCATTTAATTTTTCCAACAAATATATGTGGTTAATATTGTTATAGGCATTTTACAAAAGATGGAAATTAGACACAGGATAATTAATAACCTGTTTAATGATATTTAGTAATAGTTACAGCCGGAATTCAAACCCAGGTCTCTATGACTGTAAAACTTGACAATGTTATTATGCATCTATATTGTGGCTCCAGCCCTGACTTAAGTTTACTCCACACTGTAGCCACTTGGACTCTTCAGACTGTAAAATAGCCCCATTATGCTATTGTCTCAGCTTGGAAAGACTTTCGTTTTCATGTTCCAGCACTTACAGCACCATGACTCACATTGGTCGATCATTAAAAGGATTTTAGAAATGAATGAGACAGTCTCCACATTTTTCTTAGCATTTATCAAATCTATACATGTATGTGCATGTGTACATTTACGTACATTACTGTGGCCTGAGCATTGTTACAATTATTCAAATTATTCAGACTTTTTTCAGATTAAAAAATTAAAAGTTACAACGCCAGATAGTTCATGCTGGAAGACAAGAGTCCATGCAAAATATTGGTAGAATTTTACAATTTTTTATAATAATCCATAAGAACTAGCAAAAAGCATAGTTCCATGAAGTATCAATACGGATTTTTTTTTATCGATTAATAAAAGATGTTCAGGAAGCTGTTTTTTCTGTCTGTGTCTCTAAACTATCCTGATTTTAGTTGAGGATACCAGTAGTTTTAGAAATTTCTTTAGCTGATTCCTCACTGAAACAAAAACTATTTTGAAATGACTATAGCTATGTAAGAAAGATGTATGTTTTTTGTACATGTCCCTGTGGAAATCACATAAATCTTCTCAAGTTTTCTTTTCTTATCTATTTTAAATGACACATATGTTGCCAGTAAGTCTTTTCTTGTACATGAGCCATTTAATGATTCTCCAACTTTGTGCACCATATCCATTAAATTTCCTGTCATTTCACATTTATCAGTAAGACAAAGGGAACCGAAACTAACAAAGAAGGAACAATAAAATAACTCAGTAAAACAATTTCTGAGTGAAAACAGTCTGTGTTTAGTGTGGTATATGATTATATCATACAGAGTTAGCATTCTTTAAGTTATCTAGAAAATCAATGAAAAATAAAAATTAGTTTTAATTAGTAAAAATTCTGTTGAACAAAGACTTTGTGTGTTAGAAGGTCATTTGTCTAAATCTGATATTCATTTTCAGTTGGATTTTGAAGTTTGTTTATAATGAAAGAGGAAATCCTTTCTCCGAAGATTGATTTTAGTTGTTTTGAAATGTCACTCATTAAATTATCTTAAAGTAAATATTATATTTTATTTAGGGTCCCAAATGAAAATATTTTGGCACATGTACTTTATCTTTTAGTATTTGAGTATTCTATTTCCTCTGTTCTCTTGAGTGTTAAAATAAATTGAATATAATATTTCAAAATGAAGAAATAAATTACAAAAGTTACTTTATATTCTCCATAGATTGTCATTTAACATTATATGGAAATGCAAGCTTTTCATTTTTCATAAATGAAAAAATTATTAGATGAAAATATTTTTCAAAATGTTTACATATCAAATTTGGAATACTTTTGATAGCCAAAATTTTAAAGAAAAATTGTAATTGGTGTTTGACATGCAGTGATTTTAGTATGTCAATTTAGAATATCAGTATATATGAACTCACTAAAAATAGAGTTTCATAAAATTTGGGGGCTCTTGTGTAACCTTATGTTTATTGTTCTCACTTTTATTATTTATTTATTGTTGCAGATTAAAAAAATCAACAGAAACTTTCCTGTAAACCAGCAGGTAAGATGGAAAAATATTTGGAGAGACAAATCATATATTTCTTTCATTTTATTAATTATCAAAGATAATCTTGATTACATTTAATTTATATGTGGAAATAATTGGCACTATCATTTGCTCTCCAGGAATATACATAATTTATTAGACTTCTTTCATATTATGTGATATATCTGTTTCTCTAATCATATTAAAAGCAGTTTTAAAAAATATTTTATCTAAGTAAACCAAGTCAAAACTCTATTTGACTGGGATGCCTGGGTGGCTCAGTTGGTTAAAAAAAAAAAAAAGTTTAAAAAAATAACTCTATTTGACAAAATACATATATTTATTTAAATATAATGTTGAAGACCTAGGAGAGATATTTACATAAGATAGTTTGACTGTATCTTAACATGTGGGAAACCTATTTTATTTTAGTTCAAGTTAGTTAACATATAGTGTATTATTTGTTTCAAGGGTAGAATTTAGTGATTCATCAGTTGCATATAACCCCCAGTTCTCGTTACATCAAGTGCCCTCCTTAATGTCTTTCATCCAATTACCTGATCCCCTGACCCACTTGCCTTCCAGCAACCCTCAGTTTGTTCTCTATAGTCAAGAGTGTGCTTCTCTCTGTTTTGTTTTGTTTTGTTTTTTAATTTTTATTTATTTATTGAGAGAGATAATGATAGAGAGAGAGCATGAGAGGGGGGAGAGTCAGAGGGAGAAGCAGACTCCCCGCTGAGCGGGGAGCCTGATGCAGGACTCGATCCCGGGACTCCAGGATCATGACCTGAGCCAAAGGCAGTCGCTTAAATAACTGAGCCCCCCAGGCGCCCATCTCTGTTTGTATTTTATTTTATTTTTCCTTCCCTTCTTCTATGTTCACCTGTTTTGTTTCTTAAATTTCACACATGAGTGAAATCATATGGCATTTGTCTTTCTCTGACTGATTTATTTCACTTAGCATAATACACTCCTGTTCCATCCACATCGTTACAAATGGCAAGATTTCATTCCTTTTGATGGCTGAGTAATATTGCATTGTGTGTGTGTGTGTGTGTGTGTGTACACACACACCACATCTTCTTTATCCATTCATCCATTGATGGACTCTGGGCTCTTTCCATAGTTTGGCTATTTTGGACACGGCTGCTATAAGCACTGGGGTTCATGTGCCCCTTCAAATATCTATTTTTATATGGGAGATATATGTTTAATTGATCTAAAAGAAGGAATTTTCAAAATTAGATGACGGTATTTTACATGAGTCTAAATGAATGCATAGAATGAAAATGATGTCTGATTAATCTAGCCAAGAATTTAGTTGATTTATAGACTGATAATTGATTATAGAATAAAATAATTGATTATAGAAAACAATAATTGATTCTACTTACAATTTTACTAAGCTGAACTTAAATTTGCATTGCCTCATAAACATTATAAAAATATTTGTTTGAATGAGTAAAGTAAGTATAGGCTCAGTTTTGGACTTGCGCAAGTCAGCCATGTGTCAGGTTCATGTGATGGTGGAGAAGCAAAGGCTGGCCATGCATTTCCTACCTTTAACATCAACCTCAATGTGCAACCATTGATCAAAATCTAAACATCTAAGTTATCTATTTATAAATGGTAGGTCAATCACAAGTTAATTTCAACGGTAGAAATTTTAAATAATCATCTTATGAAACTAAGTTACTTTTCTCAAACCTCAGTTGTTCATCGGTAATATTTTAAAAGTGCAACTACCTTACATGTTTATTTTTGTAGATTAAATAACAAACATAAAATTCTCAATATATGCCATTATTAACATTAATATGTTAAAATTTTAAATTTGTTCTTTAGAATACAGAATTTATGTTCTTGTATAATTTATATTATTAATGGTGCCACTAGCCCAGACTAGCCCACAAAGTTATGTGTGACTGAAACACTACTGAAAATAGCTCTGGAGAGCTCAATATGTCTGCAAAGCTCTGAACTGTGTCTCTCCAGCCATAGGCATACCCTGTTTCCTAGCCTCAGGTCCTCACACCTGAGTCATGCTGATGTTTTAGGTAGATGCAGAAGTTGAAGAGACGTACGTGTCATGTGTCTCATGACATTCCACTGTGGTTATGTCTCAGCCCTTGTTTGATGTGCAGAGAACAGGGCTCTAGCCCAGAGCTACTGATCCACTCACTCTGTGATGATACCTGGGAAACTCCCACTGTGGCTCTCATTCCATCCCAGATGCTTCTGATGCCAGTAGGACGTTACATAGGAAATACAGTTTAACAAGCGTATAGGGCTGTAGTGGAGGGAAAATTCCTTAATGAGAAATTATTCAAATAGAAAGGAACATCAGCCACTGGGGAAGGTTGTAATGCCCATCAGTAAACATAGCTGTTTTATAGTCAGATACATAAAATGTAGATCTATTCATTTGTGGAATTCTTGCCAAAAATATAAATGATGAATGTTTCTTTAAGAATGACTCTAATATTTGTGTTATCATCCATCCTTGCCCTTTCTAACCTCAACATGTGAAGTATTAATAATTAGTGTAATTTATGTTACTATAAATATTTCATAATCCTAATAAGCCCACGGTTATTCTTTATTTATGATGACAACTACATTTGACACTTCCTACATTTTCCCTCAATTGGCATTCTTTGCCACCTCTGCGTTTATCTAGGTTTTGAATAATGGTAAAGTAAAAAAGAATCTGGAAAAAACTTAAATATAAAGTAAATAATAAAACTGTTCAATATTCCAACCCACACATATATAATAAATGTAGGTAAGCATTAGTATTCATAGCTTTTTATTTGCTAGCCTATTAATATTATTATACCAAAATTTTATTTCAAATCTCTTAGCATTTAACATTTTTTAAAATCATAATGAATTCTTCTTGGCATTTTAAAAACTGAAAGCAAGAGTTAATAGATTTTTACCTTACTACTTTCCATCATGGAAATGAAGACTTCCAGGAAATAGAATTTGTGTATAGTTCAATATTCATATATACACACTATTGGAAAACTCACCTGCATAACTTGATACCAGTGCATTAGGAGACCAAGGTACATTCCCTATTTAATAAAATGTGAACCAGTTTAATGAATGAAAATTTGAAAACACATATAATCTTATTTCTCCTCCATATTTAGCATTCAAACAGCACTCTTATCTTGGACTAAACCACATTGTTTTGCTTGAATCTCAAATTTTTTTCTAACTTAATTTTCATGTAAAGTTTTATGAAACTTTGATTAGATATAAAGATATATGTTTATACATATGCTTTTGATTGAATAATTTAGGCATATGTTAAAATATTCAAGTGTTATGAATGAAAATCATATCCCCCCATATCCCTGATGTCCTAGGTCTCAAAAAAGAAAAGAAAGGATGTCACCCACTTGAACAGAAATCTTTTGCTTCCTGTAGGATTCGATTTTGAATTTGTGCTATCATGTGGTACGGCTACCCTAACCGGAGAAATTAGAATAAAATAAAACATAAAGGGGACTGGGGGATATCACTACTGTCTAACAGGGGCCAGTGTTAGAACTTAGCTCTGTAGGGACACTCCCACAAACCAGAATGCATGAGACTTTCAATAAAACTACTCTCATTAAAGAAGAGATTTGAATTCAAAATGTTACATTATTGAGTAAATAGACCACAATAGGGGAAAACATTATATTTAAAAATCCAAACTTATTTTTTGAGTGGGGGAGGGATAGAGGGAGAAGGAAACAGAATCTAAAGCAGGTTCCACGTCCGGCACAGAACCTGACATGGGGCTTAATCTCACAACCCTGAGATCATGATCTGAGCCAAAATCAAAAGCTGGACACTTAACTGACTGCACCACCCATATCCCTTCCAAAAAATCTAAAACTATTTTTAATTATCATGTGCTTTTTAAGTAAAGGAAGGAAATTATAAGTCAAGAACAGGATGTGGTGTTAAAAAATGTGGATTTGCAAAAGAATCAAATAGGAGTTAAAAAATTTTAAAAAGAACATATTTAAAATTAAAATCAATTAACCAATTGAACAATAGAATAGATGAAGATGAATTGAAAGAGAATGTCATCAGAACACAGCACACACAGAAAGGGGTGAAAAACATAAAAGTTAATGTAAGCCATGAACTTTAGAATGAGAAATTAAAAAAAAAAATTAAAAATAAAATCTGCAGAAAGACTGGAGAAAACATATGAGAGGCAATGTATGAAGAGAGATGATGGCTAAGAATTTCCTTGAGTCTTCAGATTAAAGAACCAAGCTAACTCCTGAGCAGGGTGAATAGAAACAAACCCACACCAACAAAGGATCTGAAATGACCTCAATATCCAATGAGTGGAATACTGTGCAACCATTAAAAGGATAAGCTAGTTCTGTTGGTACTAGTATAGAAGGTTATCCAAGAAAGTTTATTAAGTGGCAATAGCAAAGTGAAGAATAGGGAACAAAGTAAGCCACTGTGTTTTAATAAAGGGGTTGAAATGATACATAAACATATTCTTTTAAAGGAATAAAAAAAGAAAAAATAAAAAAAATCTCGAGAAGATACACAATAATCTGATGAAGGTGTTGAATCTGAAAAGTATTAGGGTCTAGTCTCCTTCCTCCTTCCCCTTGTGAAGATTTCATTCCCAAGTTCCTGTGCTTAAGTCTTATGCCTTTCCCTGGAGAACCCTCTCTTTTCAATTTCCAATCATTTTGTTGATTTAAGTTCCCTATTCAGTTCCTGCAACAAGAAATTGCATTTTGTTTTGTTTTGCTTCGAGCTCAGATGTGTGTTAGCTCTGTTGTTCCCAATACAAGTTCTATTTTGCAATTCTGCATATAGGAATCACCTCAGACTACAGTTATTTATTCGCCATCCTTTGGCTTTCAGTCTTTACTATTGGAATAATTGGAAAAATTTATGTGCTTGCTATTTAAAATGCATTTCTAAGATGTGCAAGGTTGAGCATCTTTAAGTGACATTAGTTTATACCTTTATAGGTCCAT